TTTGGGTTTCAGTGGGTTTGTAAAAAAAGCGACCAAAAAAGCGTGTTCCTGCCTTCCTGGTTTATAATTGTATGGCGCATTCAATCGGAATCGTCACAGTATTATCTCCAACACGAGACCTAAGGCAGCCTCCGAGACATCTCTTCTTTATGACGCATAAATATGGACAGTCTGCCAAAGTTATGCGGGAAGGCATATTGTTTTCCGTCTTCATGGAAACTCACATTATTGAGTAGAATGACGTTCTCTGTCCGAGCATATCCAGGCTCGATGGAACCTTCGCATTACACAGATGCCTTATGTAGCCTGCACGACCGACTTCTTTTCGGAGGTTGTCGCAGGTTACCCGAAGCAAGGTACGTAAAGGCGACACTGAAGGCTTATAGTGTTTTTGAATTAACCGAGAAATCTGGAAGAACTTTTCCTAGGACCGGCATAAGTGGCTAACAACTGTAACATTGAGGCAGCCATGTTCAAAGTCAGCCGAATAGCGGAGGGTAAGGCGAAGTGGCATGCGCATAAGACTGAAACGCCGCCAACATCCTACCTCTTTCACAATTGGCAAATCCCTTGCAAGTTTTTTTTGGCCTTGTCGAACGTCCTCGAATCTGCCGAAAACTCAGCACGAGCGGCTCACGTGTCATCATCGTAATGCGACACTCTAATAATCAACGAATATCCTATCCACTACAATGCGGACAGGACCGGGACACAAAGCAACCACCAAAAGTGCAGATACTACTAACCTCCCTCAGAGTGATCACACATTAGTGTCACCCATCAACCTCATCAACTTACGAGAATCCGTCACAGCACTTCCAAAAAGTCAGTGTCTATAGCCCCAGCCCATACCCATCGCGCCCGTTTTCCTTTTCACTGTACACCTGTTCATTCAGCTTCCAGAGAGCCCATTAAAATTAATCATTTCTCATGCATAAATTTAACCGTTTGACTGCAAGTTAGTGTGCGTTAAACAGCGATCCACCTTGCGACCGATCTCGCCACCCGTCGACCGACAGGTCCTGACGGGCCACGGGGACACGAGAGCGGGAAATTCGAGTAAGGCCGACTCAGCTCGAAGTCAGCACAACAAGGTCTCATTGTGAACGAACTGCTGCGTTTTGCGGTAGGCCAACAGCCATAGCTCAGACGATTACCAGCCCGCAGCGTATCTCGACCTTCCTCTGAAACGGGAGTCAGACAGCAACTGCTCCTTCAAGTGGTCTTTGTATCACTGGCTTGGCGCATTGTGAGTTAAGGAATGCATCGTGTTCCCGTGATTTCGTGGCAACCTTCCGCCATCTTGACCGTGGACATGAGAAAAGCAAAATGATTATCTGCATAAGTCTGCTTCGGTACGAATAAATTTATGCATAAGCCTCTACTGCACTTATCTCATGGAAAGGTGGTGGCTTTTATCATTTTCCATGATCGTTTTTTTATTGGACCCGATGATGAATGAATAAAAGAACAAGCTTCAGTAACGGTTAGATAACAGCCGACGGCCAGTTGCGGTCTAGTGACGATAACGTGGTAGAGTGAGCTTGATGCACTTCTTATTTTCGAGTGATTTTACCTTTTAATACTTGAACATTTTTACATATTTCGCCTTTGTCGTCTTGCTTCTTCTCGCTTCCTCATCCTCCTTCCCTACCCTTACCCCTACTTATTTATGAAGTAGCATTCGCAGCCTTACTTCTATTTTAACAGGTTCAGCCAGTTTTTCACGGAAGCACCCGTTCGCCTGTTGGTTCGCTACCATGCTCATGTGCTTTGGTGGCTCCATCCTCTCAAACTTTGTTATGGGCGAGCCTCTTTTCACTTGCTTCGACGATTACCGTGCAGTCTTGACCGCCACTGCTGTCTGGTGAGTATGGCTGCCCCGTCTTTCATCACATAAACCTATTCCATCTTAGGTATCTCATCAACTACTCTCCGTTTGATATTGTCTACACGCTTTGCCGAGTCTTCTCAATTCGTCTTATAATTTGTGCCTTCAAGGAAGTTCAACGGGCCAAAAAGATTTCCATTGGTGTGGCACATGCCTATGAACACTATCCGAGCAGCATTTTCACTTGCCTTTTGTCTGGCATCTTAAAGGGTATGCCTTGCTTATACTCCCCGCTCCAATCTTCTGTCGTACGTCCTTTTTCTCTGTCTTTAGGTACTGGTAGTTCTTTTATGCGTTCGTTCGCTTCCGTAGTTTATGGCAGTTGGAAACCAAAGTCTATCGAATTCTTAAACGTATCTTTGTAAGTGTCCCTCCTCTCGTCCTACTTCTTCCTTTCTCCCTCAACGCGCGTTTCCACTCCCCACACACACGCATGGAGCCTTTCTCCCGCAAGTGCTGTTAGGACAGGATTTAGAATAAGGCGCTAACTCCCCACTACCCTTTCCCCCACATCCGGAATCGCTTGACCTTCTTGCTTTACCCACACAGGTGCGGGCTACCTTGAGATGAGGATTTTGGCTCGGCTTGCTCGAGGCGTTTGGCTGCCAGCTTCAACCGAGTTCCTTCACCCTAGCTTGTAAGTGGTGGGCGCTTTTGTCCCACGATGAGGAGGCCTGTTGGTTTGTGCTTCCTGCCTGTTGCAACTGTGCACGATAGGACAGTTGTCGAGCTACCAGTAGTACAACCACCCCCTTCCTCCCCCCTGACCACCCACAGCATGCCCCCACTCACTTTCGTTCCTCGACCACCACCAATTTCAGGCTGCATTTTCCTTACAGCACAACCGAAATCTCACTCCTGGCGGCTGTCGTCTACTACTGCGAACATCTTGGCATGATTCCCCTACCTTCAAACCAGGTCTTCTTGCTAGTCGTCGGAGTGCTAGTGTACTTGCGGTAAGTTGCTGTTTTAACCTGTCAATGTATTCGCTTCGTCTTTGAAAATCGTACATTCGGTGACAGAGCGGGGGGAGGATGGTAAAGGAGCTACCCGTGTCTGATTATAGGAGTACAGCCTGTTGGGTGGAGTCCATTACTTCGTGGAAGAATGACCACTCGCCAGTCGAACGCGACGAGAACCACCACCACCACCACCACCACCACCACCACCACCACCACC